AGTTTAATGGAGATCATCAAATGCGGTTGTAAGCCCGGGTGCAATCAAGGCAGATGTCAGTGCAATAAAATGAACATGAAATGCTCCGATCTTTGTCAATGTACAAACTGTCAGAACAGAGATGATAAAGACACCATGAATGAAGATGCTCAATTTGCAGATGATGAATACCTAGATGAAATTTACATAGATGATTTGTTTGATTGAGATTTGATGTGTTTCTTATTTCATCATTATTATGTATGATATAGAAAATTTAAAAAAGGTAACGTAACCATGTGACCCTTGAAAATGTAAGAACTTCAGAACCATGAGACTTAGCACACAGTGACACAGGAGTATGTAAAGCATTATCTATTTTTATTTATTTTGTACAGGTATAATAAAGAAAACTTAAAAAAGTATAATGTAACGGTGTAGCCCATGAGAATGTAAGAACTTTGGAACCATGAGATTTAACACACAGTGACACAGGAGTACGTAAAGCATTATCTATTTTTATTCATTTTGTACAGATATATTATAGAAAATTTTTTTAAATTATAATGTAATGGTGTAATTACTTAGATGTAATGATGTAAGAACTTAGAACCATGAGACTAAACACACAATGACACAGGAGTACGTAAAGCATTATCTATTTTTATTTATTATGTATGATGTACAAAAGTTTAAAAAAGTACCGTATAATGTAACGGTGTATCCCTTGCGAACTTTAGAACCATGAGAATAATCTCACAATGACTGCGAAACGCTTCACTGTATTTATTTATTAAGTATTATATAGAAAATTTAAAAAGTAACAGACTCACTAGAGCGCAAGAAGCTTTTATTAAGATGTATAACACGTGTACAGTACATAAATATAGAGTTATATATTGTATAAGCTCTCAGAATATTTGAGAAATAAATATGAATTTTTCATATTATGTATTAAATTTCAATTTCTATTTAATAAAATGTGTCCCAACATGGGTCAACCGTAGTATACAAAACAAATATACATCCATGCACATCATAACAATGCATCAAGTTTAAATTTCCCCACATTTAATCCTTTATTACAATTTGAAAGTAAAATAAATACAATAATTTTTAAAAAAGAAATATGAATGCAAAAATACTGTAAGAATGAAGTGTGTACTTTAGTACACATACAGGGAACATGCAGACACATTGTCAAAAGGAAGACCACAGGAGTCAAAAGAAGTCAAAATACTAATACATTTTCATTAAATTGTTACACAATTATTGTTTTGAAAAGAATATCAAAGAATTGCAATTACAATAATAAAATAAGTTTTTTTGTTGAAATTTCTCATTAATAATTATACTGTAAGTTGACGCGAATTGACGTGTACTGACGCAATCCGACATTACTTGACACGATTTGACCTAAAATGACGCGATTTTATGCGAGTTGACGCAAGTGGACAGCTCATGGTATGATCGCGACGTGCTTCTACACCGCTGTATCCCGGTGTGTTTTCCGACGACCAGCAGCCTAGGAACGTAATAAAACGGTAATTTTCTTAAAATTGCAGAAGATATTTTTGTCGAACTTTCTATATTTGATTCAAGACATATTACTTAACTATTATAGGCCTCAATTTTTTATAATGAAAAAATCGGAACGGAATTCGTTTTCTAGACGTCTTTTGAGCTTCACCCCATGGCCTAATCTAAGCACGAGGAGGAAGTGCAGCGTGGTCGCTAAAGGGTGCATGGTCTTGGTCAAGAAAGGGGGCGTGGCCATATTATAGATAGGCAGATGTCAACTTCAACTCCTCTTTCTTCTAGCCTCCCTCTTTACCCTCCCCTTCTCCCTCCTCTTTCCAATAGTGGCTCATCTCTCTCTCCTTCAAGACACAGCTCATATCCCTCCAGTCGTAGCCCATCACCTCCTCCTCAACGAAGATGCCGCCGGTCCACAAGCAAGAAATAGGGGACGCAGTCGCCCAAGAGGACGTCTTGCTGGTAGGGATGCTCATCTAGCACGCGGTGCTACACCCCAACGAAATAATTGGAAGTGGAAAAAGTATGTCAAGCCGCAGAATACACTCCAAAAAATATTGCTTTTTTGGAAATGAACGGATCAAAGCTCGAATGGCAAATAATAATCCAATTGATTATATGAACTTATATTTTACTGACAACTTTTTCGAGCTTGGTAACGGAAACCAACAGACATGCTTAGCAGTATTACTCAAATAATAAAGAACAGATAGATGCAGGGGAATTATCGTATGATTGGCAAGATGTGGACATCAACAAGATGAGAACGTTTTTAGGGCTCATTATGCTGAGGGGTATTGTTCACAAGCCTCAAATCCAAATGTGTTGGAGCACAGACGAATTATATGCAACACAGATTTTCAACGAAACAATGAAATAAGATCGCTTTAGAGGTATTTTGAGGTTTTTGCACTTCAATGACAACCGCCAAAATGATATGAATGATCCAAATAGAGATCAGTTATTCAATGTTCGACCTCTTATGAACTTTGTAAAACAGAGATGTGCATCAGTCTATGAGCCAGGCTGTGACATCTCTATTGATGAGTCCTTTCTTCTTTTCAAAGGCAGACTTCTGTTCAAACAATACATAGGAACCAAATGATCACGATTTGGTGTAAAATTCTATGAAATCTGCACATCGTCTGGAATTATGTTGGATTTTCTAATCTACTGCGGTAAACAAATTGAGGGAAACACAGACCTAAGTGCTACAGAAAGAATCGTTGACACACTTATTCAACCATTTCTTGTCTTGTCAAAGTTTATTGATAACTACTACACATCTCCGTTCCTTGTAGACTACTTGCTAAAAAGAGACATGTACACCGTAGGTACGGTACAAACAAAGCAGAAGAACTTTCCAGAAGAGCTTGCTGAGCACAGAATAGAGAAAGGCAAAGCATTATTTTATGCTGACAAGTTTTGCAATATACTAGCCTGTAAATTCCGTTGGAAGAAAGATAAGGCAAATGGCAAGCCGATGATTATACATATGTTGTCGTCAAAGCATACATATGGTATTGAATCCTCCGGGGGAAAGGACAGGGATAACAGCGACATAATAAAGTTGACAGTAATTTTGAATTATAATCAGAAAATGGGAGGCGTGGATGTGACAGATCAACAATTGCATGGTATTCAAACAACAAGGAAATCATACAAATGGAGCACCAAAGTGACCATAAGAATAATCATGCTTTGTACCCTAAACTGTACAAAATGGATGCTAATCCATCAACGGCTTATGCGAAATATCTAACGTTTCTGCACGACATCATTTCGGTGTAACTGAGGTCAAGTCCAAAGCTAAATAGAGCAGCATTGAAAGTCACAACCGTTCATCGACTTACTGGAAGACATTTCACTTCACAACTACCATAATTTAGTTTACCAAATACATTTTATTCATGTACAAAATGACAAAATCTATGTAATAAGTAACATAGTCACCCTTTTTATGGCCCAAAATTGGAATTTTGTAACACATAACCTTTGACCTAGGTCAAAAGGGTCAACAACATTTCAATAAATCTCAATGTTTGCGGCCAGTACCCTTTACAGCATTAGCAAACCAAAAAGGCAAAATTCTTAAGTTTAATTTCCAAACAATGTGGTATAGTTTACTGGGAATTATGATGATATTTACAGCGATAAACAAGGGACGGCTGCAATAGCAATCTCCATGTACAACACCGCTGTGTCAATGGATTGTTTATATCCAATGCAAAAGTTTGGTCGCTAAATCCCTCTATTACAAATACTGCTTCTCACAAGAGTGCGTATGGTGGGAACCTGTGGAAACGTTTCTTATTTAATTTATTGTTACTAGACAACCTGCAGTACTGGCTATATGGTAAATGATCAAACTTCCAGGACATTCATATATTCCCAGTACTGGAAAAAGCTCATTTGTTTTTCCAGGACATTCCAGGAATTTAAGGATGCGTACGAACCCTGTTACGATTTTACTTACCTTATGAAGCATAATTGTTTTTAAAAGTGTTTTCAATTCCATTTCAATAATTCTTAACAATATGATGATTTTAAAGGTGTTATTATTATGATTTCGCCTTAAAAAAAATTGGGAAAATTAAAACTATTATAAACCAATAAACAATATTGATAAAAATATTAGAATTCCATTCCACCACTGTTTAGAATTCAGTTCAGCCACCATAATAACATACACTATACCTTAAATAATGAAAAACTATTGGTGCCATTCCACAACTGTTGTAGTGACGCCATCATTATAAAGCCCTTTAGTACTAAAATTCTGTCATTTCTGCCAAAAATGTCCAAGGAGTATGAATGATCCCTTAAATTTACAGTACATATAGTTCTATATGTATTGATTTTGTCTATGGTGTTTACTCAAAAGTATGTGCTTACAGTACAATTTTAAAGTTTGAATTAATTGAGAAGATAACCTGACGTCTCATTTTTGTCCAATTTGTTCATTCCGTCCTGCCACCAAATTGTTTTTCGTTGCCATGGTAATTTGATCAAGTACCGTGCTTTCTGTTTTATGTCAAATTGAAGTAGGTATCGGTAACTTGCTTAAGATCATAAACAAGTTTCATAAACAAGACAGAGAACTACATCTAAATAATGTCAAATGTTCCGTCTCGCCACTGGAGGAAGGGTTTTCGATTACACCCAGTCTATCCCAAATAAATAGATTACCTGAGACTTGTTAGTAATGGCGGTACATGACAGCCAACTTTTGAATTAAAGACAGTGCAATATGATGATGTTATATTTTAGTTTGCTTTATAATCATCAGATGCATTTATAGTATCATCATGTGTACAGTAAGCTTTACAGCCATAGAAAGATGTAGGAAAAAATATTGAATTTCTTGCTTATTGTCATTTAGTTTTGTATGTATAAGGCCCGGATATTCAATCTTTTTAAGCTGGAGGCCAGTCCCAATCTGTTGAGACCAGCGGCAGGCCAACACAAATTGTGCACTTCCATTTATTCTATGTTAGCCCCACCCCCATTGGTGGATTCGACATAGAATGGACTATAAATATTTTAAAAATTTATATGGCACCCCTAAATGGTCGCAAATGGCACTCTTAGACTTAAATTTGAATATTATTTTCTTTTCTTCTCCATTTTATTTTAGAATTTTGAATTAAAAAAAAAAAAAAGAAAAAGAATTGCACTCCTACCCCTGCCACTAGAAATTATACTACCACAAAAATCGTCATTCAAAAATCGGTGGAGATGACGCCTAGATGAGATGTATTAGGGAAATTTTTTGCACACTTCAGATAGTGACCAATGGGAGGATGAGATTACAAAGAGCTTCTGTGTAATTAGTAAATTTGAATGTTAACAATGTTAATACCAGCGTGAAACTACATTGATCGGAATATTCAAGGGACGGTAAGTGTCTATGGTCTCAAGCATTTCTAAACAAAATTCTTTATATATATCTTTCCCATCTATGTCAGGTCTGTCATAAAAAAATATACATAAAAATAAATAAATAATTTAAATAAAATTAATTAATTCAAAATAATAAGGCAGGAAAAAGGCTACATCTACACTCTACAGGTGGAAAACGGCACCGCGAGCAGCTTTACCAAGAGATGGATACGTGCGCCTAATAAGATGACATTATTATTATTATCATTATTATATCTGCCCCTAGTTATATTCTGTAAGGTACGGTTCCAACAATTAATAGTAGGCTCTATTAACACAATTTAAATTCAGAGACGGACACAAATTTACTTTTCCCCTAAAATCATGTATTTAATTATTTATTGCCATGTTTAAGGGCGGAGGTAGATCTAGAGTGGGTGGGGATGCAACTGTTCGGTGCTCGGTAAATTTCTAAAAAATTAAAGAAAATGTATGATATTGTCAAAAGCGTATGAGATTGCTCAGTAGTACAGTAGTAAGTAGAGGCCCCTGGCCACTCCGGGGCTTATTTGGACGCGCAAGAACTAAGCGTTTCCTCAGAAAGCACACAGACATTACATAATGGTCAAACCTATACAGTATATTAACCCCTTTTAATATGGGACACTTGGAAATCAATTAAGACATGGAGGCACATTGAAGGTGTCCTTTACCTTTCTTCAAAACTACTGGTAGAGGGCGGGCCACTACTGTACATCAAGAAAAGTCAACAACTAGCATACCAGTCATGGTTCGATAAAGATCAGTTGGCAGGGGCGGATCTGGGTTCAAATTTAGAAAATTTCTCTATGACTAAAGTACATTGCCTTCTAATACTATGTATAAAATATATGAGCATAATAACGATTGGTTAAATAGCAATTCATCATTAAACTTATTCATCACTTGCAGTAATTTAACATTCACCACACATTCAACACTTTGAGAAAAAAAAATCAAATCAACTAACATTCGCCACTTGAAATTCAAACCAGTACGCATGATTTTTGATGTGAAGCGTTGGGTGCGTATTAGCGAGCAAAGTGAGAACCTTAGGCCAAGGGACCTGGGCCATCTTGGGATCCCTGGGGGTGCAGGGGCAGAACTCTGGTGGGAGTGTGGGAAAAAAAACTCTCCGAATCGCCGATAAATTTGCATTTTGAGTGGATTTCCTGTTGATATAAATCGAAAAAGTACTGGGTATGGTCCAGGGGTTGCGCCAGCGGGGGCCGGGTGCAGGGCCCCACGTAGGGGAGAGCTTCCCACCGGGGAGAAAAACCAAAATTCGTCCGGGAGAAAAAAATATAGACCTATGTATTTTCTACATATTACTAGACTCTAACATTTGAAAACCCCTAAATACTCAAAATTTTTGGGAGGTTCGCCCCTTGGACCATCACTTAAGAAACATTTTAAGACGATTTATAATACTAAAATTTGCAATATTATAGGCCTTTAAAATGAAGAAAATACTAGCAAATATAAAAATTATGATAGAATTTTTCCTCAATGACTATCTTTTAATGAAATGACATTGAGAAACAATTAATTAATTGCAATATTGTTTTTAATGCAAACTAAGATATTTAAATAATAATTATTTCACTAAAAATTCCTTCATGATGCTATTACATTTATTTTTATCAAGCTCTCAAAAGACTTGAGTACCAAACTGTGCTGTAGTAAGTGAGTGTGCTCTGAAAAACAGAGACAAACAAACATGAGCATGATATCACTGATTGTCAAAAATATAAATGCTGATTAGCCTTTCTTGTGAGATGGAGGGAATTTGCTTTACAGTTTAATTGGTTATGTAACAATTCTAGGTACTTGAATTCATCACCAGTTTCAATTTATATGTTAATAAAAGATCAGTTGCAATGAATGTATTATTCTGAAGTCAATCATTTTCAGTCTTACTGGGATAACAGTAAGGGTAGGGAATTTAGAGTGGCACCACATTATGGAGTCATAATTGACTTTTTTATTATTTTATTCCATTGCATATTTATCTATTTTGCAACAATTTCATATGATTGTATATTGCTAAACAGAATACTGTAGAATTAAATCATTGGTGTAGACACCAGCTCATTTCACCAAATTTGTTCCACATTTCAAAGTCCTTCATTGATTTATGGTATTTTATTGCATTGCTAAATAGACCTCAAATGACTGTCATCAGCATTTTTAAACAATTTTCCAACAATTATATTTCATATGAAAAATATTTGTATAATGCTAAACAGAAAAGAGCTAAATCACAAATGCATCTCTTATGACAGCAAATCAGTTTCATTGAATGGGTTAAAATGCTAAAAATGACAATTAAGTTTTTCATTGGAATAGGGATTTAGTCCAGAATTCTTATTTTTTGCATTCTCCCCCCTCCTCCAACCCAAACCAGCCTATGCCCCTGACTAAATACACAGCCCTGGTGAACACCAGGTGTTATTCATGATGGTATTAGAAGAGGAAGAATTACCAAGTTTCATTCTATGGGGTCTATCAGTAAGGAAGTCACAAATCCAAATGATAAGGTGAGTGTTAGTCCTTTAATTTATTAGTTAATAATTATGTTTGAGATTATTCAATCAACAACTCTTTAAAGAATTATATTTTAAACTATTCTTCTGTTGCTTCATTTTAAATATTACTAAAAACTCCCCTTTTCCATCATTAACGTGCAAAGCGCCTTTGATAACGCACCTCAGTCGTTTAATTGATGCTTTATAAATTCTTATATTATTATTATTATTTTTATAAAGTTAGAATTAATTAGATGTTTTTTCTTCATCATTATTAACTGTTTAGTTCATTTAGACACAGCAAAAATGTAGA